GGCAGGAAGCCAAGGTGGACTCCCTATCCCTAACACAAGCCACCAGAGTCAGAATGAATCAAGACTCACGGCGGCTGCTTTCACTCAACATCCAGGGGCCTTTACGGATTCTGCAGCAACAGCATGGCCTCTTTGACACGTATCCTGAACGTGGCGGAGGGGCCAGGGGAGGAAAACTGCAGGAGAGAAAGCAGCCCACGGGGCGCGGACACAGTGCTGCGCGGCCAGCCAGGCCTCCGCCAGGCCGGCCGCCCTCCAGGCCGGCCGCGGGCACCCCGGCCACGCGTCCCGACACCCTGCTCCTTCCTCTCTCCTTGCCTGGGCCGACTCCTACTCCGCTCCTCAAGTGTTAAAAACAGGTTGATTCATGCCAACCACAGGGTTTGTGACTCATGTCTGATCAAGGTATTCAGACACAGTAATGATCTATAAATCCTGAACTTAAACATTCTCAGGTGAGGGCAAACTCTATCTACTCCCATTTGCGCTCAGGGTACTCCACTTAGCTGTGTGACACTGGGCAACTTCCTTATCCTCTCTCTTCCTCAGCTTCCCCCTCTGAAACACAGGCATAATAATACCTAATTTACAGGATTGTTGTGGGTATTGAGTAATACTACACATAAAGTACTTAGAGTACCCAGCACATGGTAACACTACATAATGTTTGTTTTTCCTGTCTTAAAGTACAGAAGCAGTACTCTACCATGCTTATAATTCCTAATGGCATTACTGGTCTTTCAGGAATTTCAAAAGATGTCTTTCAGATTCTGAAAAATATACATACCTATTCATTCCAGCTCCCTCCTGGAGGTTGGTGGACTTTAGCAGGTACTTCTTTCAATGTGCATTAATGAATTTCTTATAAAGTAACAGGGGAGCGAACTTCATAAGTATTTACTGAAGAGGCTCAATGAAGAACTCAAATCTGCAATCCACCAGATCACAAGCAACAAAATTCTAACGCGGCTGAAACAAGCCCTCCACACACCTTTTGCTTCTCCAGATGCCTCCTTGGGGTAGCACCGACCTGACCTGCGGCACACAGAAGCGACCCCCTGAAGGGAGGGGCGGGCTCTGTCTGCGGGGACGGCGCCTGCTAACAGCCAGCAGCTGCCCCAGGCACTGCCCACCTGCACTTCTGGTTATTCCACCTGGGCAGGCTCACTGCAGGGGCCGGACGGGTACACCTCGTATTTCACGTATTTCATGCAGCGAGAAAACGAGGCAGTGCGCAGGCCAAGGTCACTCAGGGTAGGGGACAGCCAGGAAGAGCACCCAGGGGTTTTGACTGCCAATCACAGGACACAAGCACACGCCCCTCATCTGATGACAGTGCCCTTGAGTCAGGCGACAAGCCGGACAGAGGCCCCATGAAGGCATCGAGTCCCAAGAGCTAGAAGGACGGAACTAAAGGACAAAGGATAAAATCACAGAAGAGCTCTAAGAGTCTATAAGCGCTGTGATCCTATCTGAACAACACACAATTAGGTGCACTAGCCCTGCATCTTGGGTAACCTTAGATAACTTCCTCCTGTTATTTCATTAAGAACAATTGCTTTTAATGGGCCCAGTACCTGGGCAGGTGAGGCAAGCGAGGCAAGCAAACTTTATATGCTATGATGCTACACCGACATAGCTTTCTTCCCGGAAATCTGGCCTGAGTGGGAGCCGAAAATAAACCGAAACGCCAGTTCCTGAGGGAGATGTCATCAGAGATGTTACACACACACCCCGCCTCACAAAGAGCAGGGTGGTTATGGACACAGCTTTAATTTAGAGACATTAAATCTCAAGCCAGCTGAGACCCTAAGTGTGTGGCAACTTAAAGCAGAAGAAGCACCCAAGGGAGGGGAGCAGGAAAGCATGGCCGGGAAGCCCTGGCCGGAGCCCACCCAGGGCAGCCCGGCTCCTCCCCGCAGGGCAGGCCACCCTGCCCACGGTGACAGGTGCGGGACAGAGAGACCCCCGAGGCCGGCCGGCGCTCCAGAGGGCAGCACCTGGCTTTATTCAAAAAGGTTACAGGGGCGACCACTGATGGGGAAGGAGCAAGTCTCCGCAAGGAGACGTGTGGCCAAACGGGGAGTTTCCAGGGCGCAAATCGGCTCCCAGGCCGAAGAGGCGAGGTCTGGCAGTGAGGGAAGGAAGGGGCGCTTTCAAGTCCTAACGGGGCTTAACCTCGGCTGCTGGAAATCTCAGGACCTGGACCATAAATTCCGCACTTTTAAGGAGAAACTATCTATTTTATTTCTGTTGATGCAATTTCTGGAGGCGACCAGGAGGGGATAGGGCTCGCTGGCCAGCCTGTTCACTTCTCTTTTAGAAATTTGTTCATCAAAAAGTTCAAAGAAACTGAGAGACTAGTATTAAGCCTTGACTCATTGCCCACCAAATTAACATGAAAACTACAAAAATACGGCCAACTACTCCATACTAAAAGGACACTATTTAAGAAATTCCGATAGGTGGCCCTGACCAATATGGCTCGGCTGGGCGTTGTCCTGCAAAGCAAAATGTCACTGGTTTGATTCCCGGTCAGGGCACATTCCTAGGTTGCAGGTTCAGTCCCTGGTCAGGGCAACCAATCAATGTTTCTCTCCCTTTCTTCCTCCCTTCCCCTGTCTCTACAATACAAATAGGTAAAATTTTAAAACGCCAAGAGATGAAAACTTCAAAAAGAAATGTCTCCCAAGACTGTCCCTATATTATCTACCAAGAGCTGGGTTCTCAAATCTCACCCCCAGGTTAGCGCTGGGGACAGCATCAGAACCTACGTGCTCCGCCTCGGTCTCACGGTCTTCCCGGACAGCGCGCAGCCATCTCGGCTCGTTTATGAGGAGTGGGAGGTGAGAAGGAGAGCCTTCCTAAGCCACAGCGCTGCAAGCAAGGATCCACCTCGCCACCCTGGTCGGCGGCCAGGAGCAAAGCAGGAGACATGTTTGGGTGACCAGGGCCATCCGTGCCTGGGGTTCATGGTAACAGAGAACTACCTATCAGGTATAAATTTCCTCCCCGCACAAACCTACCTATTCTCAAGTCTTAGAAGAAGTGGGTCCTGCCGTCCATAAACGGGCACCACATGCCACCATTTCCTAGAACTCCTACGCCTCTCAGCTAAGCCCAGGAGCTGCAGAAACTACACCGGCAGAAGAGAAGAAACCGCCACCACTGGAGTCACCAAGGGTTCCAACCAATTCACAGCAAGTCACAGGAGGGCAGCTTTAAGGTACAGCCAAGCTGGTGCCTGAAGTTATTTTCCATTTAGTTCCAAAACTGGTATTTTAGGTCAAACTTCATATAACTACACATGGGGGTGGGGCAGAGGGCACATAACTGTAAACAAAGTCAACCACCAAAGTCAAGCTGAACAGGAGCAACTGATAAGCAGGGCAGCTCTGGGCAGTGAGCTGGGCCTGCTCCCCAGCTCCAGGGCAGGAGGCCATGACAGCGTCGGATGAGTCGCATTCCTGAAGTCACAGACCTCCAGAGAAGACGGTCAGGGATATCCACTTAAAAAAAAGTAACAGGGAACCACACCAGCACCCATTTGCTAGTACGAAAACGCACAAACACTGCATAGAGCAGAAAGCTCTTCCTGACAAAACAGAACTGGTGGTAACTTTTTAACAAGTGCTCTGCTGCAAGAAGTAGTATTTTCCAAGTACTTTTACACATGACCTTATAGTCTTCTCTTTGAGTCTGAGAAGCTATCGCCTGGTTTGCACTTCTCTGGGGGAAGCCCGGGTCCTGGGTGTGGGTGCATGTGCCCTGGCGAAGGAGGAAAAAGACCCTGCTGGTGTCAGAAGTCACTTCTGCCCCTAGGAAGCAGCTCACACACTCTTCCTGGGCACGGGGCCTTGTTCTCTGCCCAAGCCCTCATCGCGCCCCTCTCCGCAGTGTGGCACGAAGCCCTGTTTCTGTTGCCATTGTCTCCCGGTGTGTGAGGACCCAGATTAACTTCTGAGGTGCCCTCCCCTGAGATCAGACCTCTCAGTCCCCAGGAGCTAAAACAACCCAGACCTCATTCTTGCTTAGAAATGTTTTCTTGGACGAGAGGAGGGCATGAAGAAGGGGTGAAAGATACAGGGTTGCGTGTGTGTGAATCACTGATAGCAATTCACACTCAGGAAAACAAGACACCAAAAGCCACCAAACCAACCTCGGTTCAGGGTTTCAGGTTTCTGATAAGCCCCTTGGTTTGGTGGAACTGCAACATTCACCAGCCTAACCCGAATACCAGATGGGAGTCTGATGTTTGTTTCATAGCCTCAGGTTAAAAACATCCTTCAGGTTTCCATCTATGGTTCTCTAGTATTTTTTCCCCCAAGAAGTCCCACTGCACTTAGGAGTCATCAATCCCAGGCGCAGCTGTCACATCCCCCTCCCCCAGTACTATTAATATCACGGTTCTGATTGTTAGTGATTTTACACACCAAGTTCCCCGCAGTAATTACAATGAGGCAACAAGGTAAAACATAAAGGGGTTAGGTTTCTTCACCCAAAAGGGGTCAGTTTTCTTCACCCATAATAATGCATGCTCCAATCTAGTGAACTTCTTGGGTGTTCATGTGGCCCCGAATTCCCACCTGTATCTCCTTTTCGGGACGCCGACCACCCTGCCAGCCCCGACCCAGCATTGGCCTTCCGCTCTGGATGCACAATGCAGTATGGAGCTCCTGGGGGTGAGCAAAACGCCGCCCTGGTGTCATGCCCGGGGCGCCTCAGAGCCCGAGGAGCCCCCCACAGTAGTGGGTCCACGTACATAACCTTGAGGCCCACACCACACCCTCCTACGGCTTCGGAGTCCCTTCGCGTGGGAAAGCCCGCCCAGGGCTGCTGCAATGACTTTGCACGGGAGCGGACCTACGCTGAGGCTCGTCCTCCCACCTTGGCCCACTGCAGCGGCACCGTTCCGGACGGCACCGCGCACACCTCCCCTACCGGCCCAGGGCTCCGGCAGGCAACTGCCCTCCGCCCCCCGGCCCGGCGGCCCGCCGCACCTTGGTTTCCTTCACGTGCTGCTTGACGCCCTCCGGGTACCACTGCACGCGCACGTAGCCGCGGCGCAGCGGGCTGGCCCGGCCCTCCTCGTGGCCCGCGCCCCCCGCCTCGGAGCAGCCCGAGCTCCCGCGGCCCTCCTCCTCGCCCTCTGAGTCCGAGTCCTCGCCGTGGATAAGGCGCACCAGCCCGAAGTGCACCGAGCCGCGGTAACGGCCCGACACCAGGTCGTGAGAGAACAGCAGACGCTGCGAGCCGGCTTCGGGGCCAGAGTCCGAGGACGGCCCGGAGGCCGAGTCCCGGGCGGGCGCCGGGGCCGCGTCCGGGGCCGCGTCCGGGGCCGGGGCCACCTCAGGGGTCGCGGCCGGGACCTGGGCGGGAGCCGGAGCTGCAGGCGCGAGCGCTGCGGAATCCGCCATAACTGCTCTGCGCGAGTCTCGGGCGGCGGCGGTGGCGGTGGCTGCGGCGGCAGCAGCAGCAGCGGCAGCGGCAGCCGAGAAGCGAGGAGGCGGGGCCAGGCGGCGCCAGGGGCGGGGCCACAGCGCGCTGACGTGGCCCTACGTGCCGCCGTCGTCAGGGCACCGAGATGCGGTTGCTAGGTAGCGCCTCGTCGCTAGGGGACGCTGGAGCTGCTGCTGGGAGCGGGAAGGGGAAAAGGATGGACTCCACGAGGGCGGGGCGGGGCCAGAGGAGATGAAAGTAGAGGAAGCGGCAAGGGGTGGGGACCCAGGTGAAGGAAGTGGAGTGGGCACCGAGGAAAAGGGGAGTGGCGGAGGTGGAGCGGAGGATGGTCTGGAGGCTGTAAACAACAGTCAATGAGCTCCCTTGGCGGCTCCAGCCTAGTCTGAGGGATGCGGATACAGCAAGACCGTCCCTGTCTTCTAGGTGTTTACAATCTAGTTGGAGAGAAAAATCATGTACACATTAAATAGTTAAAAAGGGACTTCATGTCAGCTTGTAAGCAAAGCATTAACAGGTATTTATATAGTGTATCTAAAGTATATGGTCGGGGGGAGGAGGTATAAGGGGACTAAGTGATAATGGAAAAAAAATACAATAAAGATTAAATTAAAAAATAAAGTATATTGTTTTAGGGAATTTCATGCAAAGCTTGGAAGGTGATGTCTCCTAGGAATTGGTCAAGATGTTGGTGAAGGAGGCCCAGAGAAAGATCAGAAAAGATCAGACTGTATTAGTGACCCCTATGGTTTGCCTATAAATCCATCTAGATGAGTTCAAAGCTCTATGAGGCTTGTTGTGCATGGCAAGAGATAAGGTAGCCAGATAGTTAATAGTGGGAGCCATAGATTGTAATTTTTGGCACTACCACTTACTAATCTTATAAAGGTAGGCAAGCCGATAAACTTCTTTCACCTTAATTTTCTCATCTGTAAAATAGGAGTGATAATAGCAGTACCTGTCTCATTGGCAATTGGAAGAATTAAATGGAATAGAACAGTGCCTGGCATACAGTTCCCTCAATAGAGTTTAACTATTATTTTAACATCCCAACACTCCCACCCCTACCTACACTAAAATTCTAGGTTGGCAGAACTGTTATACTTATGGTCTGCCTCCCATTACCGTTTTACAATATAAAAAGTAATTATACTAATTCAGTGCCTAAGGTCACAAGGTAGTAACTGGCAGGTGCAAATTGGACCCCAAGTTTCCTGGCTGCAAGCTTTTCTAATTCCTACATCCTTCGGAGGATGGAGGTGTGCAAGTAGGCTGAAGCAACAGGGCAATGCAGGCCCGAAATCGCTGCTGTCAAAAATGCAAGTGAGTTTTGTATTCTACATCAGCTTATGCCTGGGTTTGTTATAAAAAGAATGTCCTTCCCTCCCTGATCTTTGAGTAAAATTGGCACTCCAGAAAGATGTTCCATGTTTATTCTGCAGCTTCTTGTAATAATGGCTAATAATAGCTACTGTTTATTGAGCGGCAGCTTAATGCCAGGTACTATACTAAGTGTTTTACATAGATTATCCCCCTGTGAGGGAGGAAGTATGAGCCCCTGTTTTGTGAAGCCTTATGCCGCACTGTGCTGCCCCACACACACACCAGGAACCTGCTAAGCTGTCGATAAGAATCCTTGACTTCAAATGCTGTTCTCTCCCTTACTCAGCCCCTGTTGAGAATGTGGATCAGGTTGCATTTGTGTGTGTGATGCTGGCGCCTAGTGCAGTGCCTATCAAATGCCTGAGATTTCTGTCCCTCCCTTTGGTAAGCTCCCCACATACCACCCCCCATACACTCAAGGAACTGCTGTGCTATGCCTAAGCCCTTCTGTTGCCCCCATTTTGAGCTGCATGTGGGCCCTTTCGGGGAGAAAGGCTCAGTACATTCCTCCTCACCTCAGTCAGGCCTGAAATGCTCTGGATACGGGTTCAGGCTCGATTCCTTCCCAGACTCCAGGACCCCAACCATGGTCTGTGCACACCCGGGCTGGCAAGTGGGGTAAACCTAGATGGGAGTGCCTGCTTAGTTTTGATTTTCATAACTGTTGAATGAAAAAAAAAATCCTTCATTCCCCAGTGGAGAAACCCCTTCCTCTCATGGCCCCAGCACCCAGTCCTTCTTGGGGGCTATGGATGCTTCTCAGGGGAATTTTGCTTATTTACAAATGTGCCTGCCAGAAACTGAGCCAGCCTGGCCACTCCCCTTGCTAAGGAACTGGTGTGGTTCAGCAGGCAGCAGAGCTGGCAGCGGAGTGAACTGATCTAGAGGAAGCAGGCCCCGTCTTGTCCTTATCTTCACTGGCCACTGGGCCACCTCTCCAGACCCACGAAGTCCGCACGGGCCCCACACTGCCCCCTGGGGAAGCCCTGGCCAGCTCACCTCTCCAAGCCTCTTTGTGCAAGCAAATCCACCCTGGAGCGGGTGATTGGGGGCTCCAGGGTACCTTGAGCGCTGGGGGCTTCAGCTGACAAGGATTGGTGGCGGGGAGCCACCCCGCAGAACCCCACCCCCACCCTTAGTGGCTGACCGGAGGAACACGTCTGCCTGAGCCTCCAGCTGTGGGTTGCTCAAGAATCAGGGGCCTTCTTAGCTATGAATGCTTCCAAGAGCCCCATTCCCCAACTATCCCCCCACTTACCTGGTAATACCTGTGTGATTATATTTCTCACCCTCTATTACCACCATTTTTCTACTCCTGTGTCTCCCACGGAACTGTGAACCTTGAGGACAGGGACTATGTCTTCTTCATTTTTGTATCCCAGCAGCCGGCACCGATCTAACTCACAGTACGTGATCAATGGATTTTTGTTGAATGATGGAACAAAACAAGCCAACCTCTCCCAATAGCCCTCAGCGCATCAAGTCTCTGGGACCCCTCCATCTTCCCTCAAGTCCCCCCAGCCCTCCATTTTTTTAGGTGTGAAAACCACGCCCACACATGCACACTCACGCCGCACGTACATCCACACCCACCCTGCGCACACACTGTTGCCCTCTCCCTAGCCTCTGGCGTTTAGATCTGTGTCGCTGATCACAGTGCCTCTAACCCTGTGCAACTCTTGAGCACTTGACATGTGGCCGGGCTGAATGTGCTGTAAGTATAAAACACACTCTGAATTGTGAAGACTTGGTACCAAAACAAACAAAAAAAAATATAAAATATCTTACAATTTTATACTGATTAATTGTTGAAGTGACAATACTTTACAGGTATTAGGTCCAATAGCATTTATTAAAATCAAGTTCAGATGTTTCTTTGTAGCTACTAGAAATTTGAAAATCATGCAGGGTTCACATGATCTTTCCACTGGACAGACAGAGGGACTGCAGTCGTGCAGGGAGCTGTAGGCCCCTTCTTTCTCCAGAAGCTGGCGATCCCTTCTTGCCTTTGACGTCATTCCAGAAAGGTCTGGAAGGTTCCTGAGGAAATGCCTCTGTACTATGGCAGAAATTGAACCCCAAATAAGGATGGGCCGGCTCAGCCCAGCAGTGGACCAGCCTATCTATGCAAAGGAGGCTTCAAAATAACCCCCCAGGAAGTCACGCAGCCTAGCGCCATCCTCGGCAGAAGTCAACAGTCGGTAGACTCCTACAGTGTGGGTGGCACAATGCCACGCTTTCAACACAGTCTCTGTTTTCCAGGGGTTGGCAGCTTTTGGGGGAATCGTGGTGCAGAGCCCGAGTCCGCCTTCAGGTCCAAGCAGCTCCTCCCCCCATCGCCGGGTGTCGGCCGCCAAGGCTCAGAGCTGCACCCCTCTCTAAGGATTGCCCTCGGCTGAAAGAGGATGCCTCACCCCGGCAGTGGCCTTCCCTACGGGGGGGCGAAGGCTGGTCCTCTCGCTTCCTCTTAGGACATCTGGGAAGGGCCACCCCAGCTTCAGGGCTCTTCTTGGCCTCAGCTGAAGCCTCTGCTACAACTGCATCCTCTCAGGTCAACAACACCTCCAGCCACATCTGTGACCTCGCTCCCTCACAGAGGTTGGCCCGAGAGCACTCCCAACAAACCTCCTCATGTAGAACTCAGGGTCAAAAAGTCTGTGTCCTGGGGATATCACCTGTAACAGCCGCTGGTGCCAGGCCTGTCCCAGAGAACCGACTGTAAAAGCCGGAATGCCGGGGCTGGGTCACCTGCTTGCTCACCGGTGGTGGGTGGACTCTTCCGCACGCCAGCAGGCTGCAGTGGTGAAATCGTTAAGACGTTCGTGGGCAGTGAGCTGGGGTGGGATACCAGGGGACAGAGAGGGTGTCAAGAGGTCAGGGAAGCAGTCCTAAAGACTGTGGCAGCCCACGGCCGTCCTTGGGGGTAGTCGCCTTGGAGCAAGATGGTGTAAGTCTGTGGGTGACGGGTTACCAGTCAAAGGATCAGTATAAAAGCCGCTGTATGTAAAGAAACTCACCTCGTGAAGACAGAGAAAACTAGACCATAGGAGTAGCAGGGTCCCAGACGAGGCTGAATTCTCAACCTTAGCGAGCCAGCTATGCTAAAGAGGATCCCGACTGGAAAGCCGCGGGGCTCTGAGACATCCGGGGGTATCTGGGTGGCCGCACTGAACAGCCTCAAAGCACCAGGTTCTCCGTGAGCCTGCCAGACACTCCCAGGTGCGGGCCTCTCCAGCCCATTAGAGGTCAGCACTCTCTTTGCTTGAAGACCACAACCCTTCCTTGCAAGACGTGGGTTGCCCCCCACCCACCCTCACCCCAAGGATCTACTCTACCTCCCCTCTTTGCACGATATCAATAACTAGATTTAAGTCACAACATTACGGAGCTGGTTTAGTAGTGGGCCGCCCAGAAGAGGAAAGGCTGAGCGTGGAAGGGGCCGCAGGTCCTCACCAACGGTGCCACTGGCCTGGGCACGAATAGGACAGGAATCGGACAATGCCCCGTCCAGAGGGGCAGCCCGTGAAGTTGGATACGCAGAGTGTGTGGTTATGGGAGCGCTTTTCCGCATTGCAGGATCTATCACCTCCGCGAGGCCCCCGGAAGTTCGTGCTGCGCAGTGCGCGTCGCAACGGCGCGCCCTGCTGCAGAGCGTGATCCTCGACCCCGCAGGGGCGGGGCTGCTGCTGACTCTACGCCGCTTTTTTCTGCAGGCACCGCCCTCAGCTGAAGGGAGCAGCCCGGGCCTAGGTTTCCTGCGTGACGGACTCAGCTCGAGAAGGTAAGGATGATCGGGCAAATTGTGCTCCGTGCCGAGTGTGCGTGCGGGGGAGGGGTTCAGAGAAAGAAGCCACCGTCAAAACCACCAAAAAACGCAATTGTCGTGCAAGGGCCCAGAGGGCTGCCTCTCCTGTCCATGGGGCTCAGCCTGGGAAATTATTAGGGTCTTAGAGGCATCGTCAGGGTGTCTCTGGACGCCGTCACTCATGGGACCCACCTCTTGGTGTCCCTCAGGTGGAATGTTCTGGGTGCTGGAATGGGGACCGGGCAGCTGTCACATTGGAGTGGGGAGCGGGAGCAGCCCCTTGTGGGGAACTGGTGGGGGGCCAGGGACCAGGGTGTCGCTCACCTGGGCCCAGGTGGACGCTGGCTACCATACCGAGCCAGGCTCTCTAGGGCGGCCGCAGGCTCAGCGCTGGGGGCGCCGTGGGGGAGTCTTCTCCAGCACCCCCATGCTGGTGGGTCAGTGCGCCTTTAACCGGTGGCTTCTGCCCTGCGGCCACCTCGGCTTTGTCCCCTTAGGCTGTTCCTCTGCTCCTGACCTCCCTGCCCCCCTCTCTCCTGAAGGCTCCGGAGGCCTCCTCTCGAGAGTCTGAGGTCTCTTCTCCATTCTTGGCTCCCTGTGACGCTGCTGGCTGTCTTGTCCCTGGGGCTTTGGGACACGTCCCGATCCTGGTTCTGCTCAGATCCCTCTTTCTTCCTGAGAGTGGCTCCCTGCCCCGCCCCTCTGAGCGTCCCTCCCTTAACTTCCCTGTGGTGACACGTGGGCCCTCAGAACGCTCTCCAGACACCCACCGTGGCCTCAGTTGTTTACTTGACCACAAGGAGAGCCAAATCTGTGCCCCTCGTCCTTGCCGCGTCAGGCCATCGGCAGGATGGGAGCTCAGCGGTGAGAGGCGAGGCTCTGCGGGCGGAGGGAGGAAGGGAACGTGCCCTCTGGGGGTTCTCTGTGTGCCCTGGACAACCTGGCTTCGAACTGTCATAGGATGTCCTGGAGTGCTGAGGCAGGGGCCCAGTCGAGCCCACAGTTTGCCCGGAGCCAGAGAGCCTCGTGGGAGAGAACTGGAGCCCAGCCCGGGGCTGGTATTCAGACGCACCTAGACCTGCCTGCTGGGCTGGAAGGCCGCGCAGGAGGCCAGGCTGCAGGGAGTGGCCAGCGGGACCCCTGAGGGGGCCATCACAGGCGCAGAAGCCTGGTGGGGACAGGATGAGCAGCCTCAGCCCCCGGGGCAGAGGTGGTTAGGGGACCCTTTCATGGGACCAGGTGCTGGAGGAAGACTGTGGTTTAGAGTCAGACCGTATCGATCTGGGTGTGAAAGAAACACCTGAGCCAATGGTCCCCGCACCAGGACGTGTGATTAGGTCGATTTGATATTAAATACATCGTCTCGTCCTCTCATCTCTGGTTGTGCAGTTAGAGTGCTCCCGATGTCCCCTGTGACTGCCTCACAGCTAGAGCTGCCCTTCATTTGGCCCCTGCCTGAGCCAGGGCAGAGCCTCTGAAGCCTCTCAGCAGCCCTGGACACAAGTCCCAAGCATCACAACAAGGAAGGAAGTGCGCGTGGAGATGTTGGCCCAAGGGGCAGGCAGGGCTGGGGGCGCTTTGGGTCTGCATCCTGGGGAATTCCATTTCTCTCCAGGCGTCCCCGCGGGGGCCTACACTGCCGCCCACCTTGTCCCACAGGTCCCTCTGGGGACCCTCATGGAGTCTGCCACAGTCCCAGCCAGGCGGCTCTTGCTGTTTTACATTCCAGTCCTCTGCCAAAGCCTCCACTTGAAAAAAGACCTGGGGCTACAGAGGTCTGTGTGCCCCTTGCTCTGGGCGCACAGCCCCAGGCGGGGCACCGGGTGGGGGCCAGCACCCTCTTCCCTCGAGGAAGACACACAGGATGCAAAGTTAGGGCCTCACGCTGCTTGGAGAACAGGCACTTGGGGCAGCGGTTCTCAGCCCCGGCTGCACTCCTGACGGTCTCCCCCAGAACTTTAAAATCAGCAGCTCTGAGGGGGACGCAGGTGCGAGGAGTTTCTTAAAGCTCCCTGGTGATTCCAGTGCGCAGCCAGGTGGTGTAGAATCGCTGCTTTGAAGGAAGGTGAGCTGAATAGCAGACAGGAATGGCCGGTGGCCTCAAGCCAGGATGTGCCTTATAGGGGTTTGGAGGCCAAGGGCTCTGGCTCCACCGGAGGCTCAGACAGCGCCCCACCGGCCACGTGATGGTGCACGGTTCTTCCTGGCTCCCTCGCTGCCCTTGCCCTGGCCTGTGCTGACCATCCCTGCCTCGCGCCTCACAGAGAGGGTTTCCAGGTAAAATACAAGACACCCTGTGAAATCAGGATTTTGGATATAAACAGTGTTTTAGTATAAGCCTGTCCCAAATATTGCACAGGACATACTTAAAAAATTATTTGTTGCGTCCCTGAAATTCGAATCTCATCGGGAGACCCGCATTGTCCTTTGCTGAATCAGCAGCCTTGCGATGGGCCTTTCCTGAGGCCACTCTGCTGGGCGGATGGATCTGGCTGCAGCCTGTGGAGAGGACGCACCGCGCCGGAGGAGGCGGGTGATGTAAACGTCCCAGCAGATTGTCACTTGTCGAGGCTGAGGCTAGAGATGAGTGCCGTTACTCCTGGTGTGGGTGCTCTGATGTTCTTCTTCATTTTCTTGCAGAGGGTATGCTTACCTTCGTCCCCATCACCCTATCGGTGGTAGCGTCTGTCATTTTCTCCCAGTTGACCAGGAGAGGCCCTGTGATCGCCCTCCCCTCCCCTCCCCTCCCCTCCCCTCTGCTGCTCCCGCGGGTTAGCCATGCCTACTGCACTGACTCCTCTTGTTCCCTGGGGTTTCCACGTGTCCAGAGGTGTTTTCTAAAGAGGATAGGACCATCTGATCATCAATCAAGAGGCAGATGGAACAGCTTGCCCGCCCTTCTCCGGCTAGGCCACCAGGGGGCGCAGGGGAGCCACAGCGTCCAAGGAGGAGAGAGGAGGCCTTTTCCGGGATGTTGAGGTCAGAGGTGCCCAGCCCAGGTCCCGGACAAGTTCCCCCGACCAGGCCTGAAGGCCAAGCCTGAGGAGGTCTTCCCGCCAATTCCGACAGGCCTGCGGTGGGAGGAGAACTGCCTGGTGGCTGTTGGAAGGGGCCGCGTTGGGCTCTGGAGGTTCTACTGGGCCTCAGAGAGCAGGGGGACCCTGGGAGAAAAGGACAAGCGTGGGTGTGCGGGGGCTGCTCCGGGGCCACCGCAGAGTCGGGACCATGTCGGCCCGGCAGCGCCGGGCAGGGCTGGCCGCACGGTTTCTCCCGGGTCACAGGGGAGGGCAGGCCCCCCGAGGCGGGTGGGCCAGGGCCAGCATTGCTGTGCGGGCGCAGAGGCCAGGCCCTGGCGGGGCAGGGGCGCGTGTGGCGCGGGAAGAGCTACGGGAGCAGGAGCCTGTGAGCTGAACGGGGGTCTTGGGGACTGAGAGAGGGGCCTGGGGCCGGGGGTGAGGGGGGACAGGAGACCAGGAGGCAGTTTGCTGGGCTCAGGATTCCAGAGGAGCCGCTCACACGGCGGGCGTGCGGACAAGCCCTGGGGACAGCAGTGGGAGTGGGGCGGGGCTGAGGCCCCTGGCCGTCGAGGCCCTTGGGAGTGGACGCGCAGGTTAGAGCGGCCTCCCGAACCCTTCGGTGCACTTCCAGCAGCGCGCAGTGGGCAGCCTGATGAACTGCTGCCCCCGCTCCCAGGACGTCCACGCTCGGTGGACGTGACACTTCCAGCCCCTAAAGCCCCGCTTTGGGCAGCCACTCTCCTGATATTCACACGCGGATCGGAACAGGAGCCGTGGGGCCACACGGCGACACGCGTGCTCTGGCTTCTTCCATCACCACGGCGTTGGCTGAGAGTCGTCCACGGTCCTCTGTGCTGTATCGGTTTGCCCGCTCTCTCTGTGAGGCGACCTTCCCTTGGGCGTATAGTCCACAGTCTCTTCCACACCTGAGGATCTTCTGGGTTGTTTCCAGTTAGAGAACGTTGCTGCTGCTTTAATGTTCGGCGAGTACATGGAGTGGGACTGTGGGTCCCAGGTGAGTGTGAGTCCAGTTCTGGTAGGTCCTCTTCCCAAGGCTTCCAGACCACACCACCCCCGGCTTAAGGACCTCGAGAGATGGCAGGCACGCGAGGCGAGGCACGGCACCGGGATGGCAGGAGGGCGTGACTCTTCAGGGCCTTTTGCTTGTTTGAGTCGGTTTTTGTAAGAGCTGGATAAGCGACGGCAGGTGTGGTGAGAGCTCGGGGGGGGGGGGGGGATGAGGACTGACCCCTGGTTTGGGAATTTTCCCGAGGGTATTCCTGAGAATCACGCCTAGGGAACCAGACTTCCTGATCACATACCTGGTGGGGTGGGTGACTGGGGTGGAGCATGACAGGTCTCCCCGTCCGTGGCTTGCCATTGTCCACACAGCAAGCCCCGTCTGCCTCTCCAGGCTCCTCAGCTCTACCTGCACGTCCTGGAGCCAGACTTAGGATTTCCTCCCTTCGCGCCGGTCGGCTCTGACTTGGGGACACTGCCCGGTGGCCACCAGGAGAGCCAGGAGGATGTGAGCGGGCCATCTGGGAGAGCACTGGGCCGAATGGCTCAGGCAGAGACAGCGTGCAATGGGGCGGCGGACCTGGCCTGGCCGCACGCGTTCCACTCCGGCTGTTGGACCTGGCTCCAGTTTTCTTCTCTGTAAAATGGGGTTAATCCTCGCGGGTCGCGTGGATTAAAGGAGACTGCGTCTGGGGCTTGGCCCCGAGCGAGAGCTATAAGTGGCAGCATTCTTCGGCTGCCTGAGCTGGAAGGACCCTCAGAGGGGGCTTGCCCGGGCTCCAAGGGGACAGAGGGTGAATGACTCTCCCTGCTGGTGCCAGAGCAGGGATTAGTCCCATGCCCTTCCCCAAGCCCTTGGGCCTCTGTTGGCCACGATAATCCCCTCCCTGCCCAGTGTGCCACAGTGACGGTGACATTTGACTCTCAGTTCACAGGGACAGGGATGTGACAGGGCTGCCGGATATAATTCGGAGGTGAGGCTGGGGCAACTGGAAATTTCCGAGGACATCACATGGGGCCAGGCCGTACCTGCTATCACAGCAGTTACGTGACAGCACCCGGGTGTCTCCTATTTTCCTGCTTCCTGCACCTGTGAGCAGCACCCGGGGTGACTGACTCTCGTGGGCACCTTTGCCCTGGTAAGTGGCCCCCACCCCTGGCCCCCAGCCTTCAGAAATAGGAATACCTGGCATGGGGCTTTGCAACATGGGGAGAAAAGGTGGAGGAGGAAGGGCAGACGTGGAAACTGTGGGGCTTTGTGAGGGGGGTTGGCCTCCCCCAAGGACCGGACATCGGCAGGCCCATGCTGGCTCCTCCCCGCGCCCCCAGGCTCCCCCAACCCCCTCACCCCCCCCCCCCCACCGTGGGTGTGTGGCCCAGTCAGAGGTTGCATGGGCAAATTGGGGCTCCCTGAGGAGTCACTTGGATTTAGGGCTTCTCTCTAGGGCCAAGGGCCGAGGCTGCTGGAGAGCTCTCAGCCTCACCATCGCGCACCCAAAGGACCGCAAAGTCTCCCTCTGGGGAGGTAAGACAAACCGCGCCCCCCAACCCACAGCTGCATTAGCAGCGATCAGTGGAGGCCCTCGGCCCCTCCCCCGCTCAGCCCGAGCCCTGCCCGCCCTCCTCTGTCTCCTGGGCTCTGATGCCTGAAGCCTGCGAGGCGAGAATCTGGAGGTTTGGAGGGGCTGCTGAGCGGGGAAGTGGGGAGAGAGCTCCAGTGGTACAGTCCCCCGAACAGCCCTGGGGACCAGGCACCGGGGAGTGTGCCCAACAGCTGGGGGGCCGGCCCCACCCCAGGTTCAGCCGCCGTCCCCCTGGCCTGTCCGTCTTAGAGGAGAGGACTCGACCGCCGGCCCTCACTCCTCCCCTGCAGCCGCCGGGCGCCCTCCTCTGCTGCGGAGGCCGGTTCCTGAGCCAGGGCGCCCAGAGGTAGCACCAACGGCGAGGACGTCCGTGCAGAACATCCACTGCTGGACGCCGGTGGCCCTGCGCCTGCCGCCCAGGATGCCAAAGCCCCCGAGCAGCCAGCGGCGCCACACGCTCCCGGCCAGCGAGTTCCGCTGCCTGACCCCGCAGGATGCTGCCAGCGTCCTTGAGATTGAGCGGGAGGGTGAGCAGCCCACCCAGGGCCCGGGCGCTCTGTGGGGGGAGACTCCTGCCCCTCCTGTCCTTGTCCCCGGGGCCCTGGGGTAGCAGAACGTGCGTGTTTCTGTGGGCACACTCAGTCCTGAGTCACCTGCGTTCCTGTGGGGAGGGTCGTGGGAAGGGCACGGGGTGCGGTGGCCCAGCCACCCACCCATGTGCTTTGGCCGGCAGCCTTTATCTCCGTCTCAGGGGAGTGCCCCCTGTACCTCCACGAGATCCAGCACTTCCTGACCGTGTGTCCAGAGCTCTCCCTGGGCTGGTTCCAGGAGGGCCGCCTCGTGGCCTTCATCATTGGCTCACTCTGGGATGAGGAGAGACTCACGCAGGTGAGGCAGGGCAGGGCCCCCCACACACAGTCAGGGGAGGGGAGCCCAGACCTGCGGTTTTGTCCCTAAACCAGACACGCAAGCACAGACCGTGAATCCTCTTCCAGAGGTAGAGCTCCCCACCCTTTGGGGTCTCAAAAGCCCTCCTGAAGGGTCTGCCATGAGGCTGGGGGTGCAAACCCACATTGGGGCTCTCCGGGAGGGGGAGAGGGAGCCCTGACTGCAAGCACTCAGGGGACGCCTGCGCTTGGCCCCGGGTGGTGTGGTACGGGCGCGGGTGCCAGCAGAGGGGATACGGACTCGTGTCCCTCGCACGCCCCCAGGAGTCACTGACGCTGCACAGGCCCTGGGGCCACACGGCCCACGTGCTCGTGCTGGCTGTGCACCGCCACTTCCGGCAGCAAGGCAAGGGCTCCGTCCTGCTCTGGCGCTACCTGTGCCACCTGGGCGGCCAGCCGAGCGTGCGCCGGGCCGTGCTCATGTGCGAGGAACCTCTGGTGCCGTTCTATGAGAGGTTTGGCTTCCGCCCCGTGGGCCCCTGCGCAGTCACCGTGGGCCCGCTGACCTTCATGGAGCTCTGGTGCTCCCTGCGGGGCCAGGCCGCCTCCAGGAGGAACAGCTGCTGAGCTGGCGACTGGGCTAGGAGGGCGCTGTGGGGCGGCAGCCCGCAGCACCCCGGGCCCAGTCCCTCCTGGCTGGGCTGAGCTTGAGGGGAGGCTGTGCCCCAGGCAGGGAGGAGGTGCAAAATAAAGAGAACATGGCTGTCTCTCCCAGTGGTGTCCTGCAGTTTGTCCCCATGAGACCCTCTGGACCTTCCACACTCCAAACGTGCCCGGGATGGGGGTGGCTCCTGCGGCCCGGCCTGAGCTCCCCGCCTCAGGAGCCACCGGGGGCCTTCCAGGCAGGCAGGCAGGCAGATGGGGTTCAGGACCAGGGTGCTGCCCTCGCCTTCACGGGAGCCCAGGTACCCCGGGTCCTCTGCCCTCAGTCACGAAGTGGCTGTGCCCGTTGTCTCCTGGTGGCTCCCGTGCTTGGGGGAAAGGGCTGGGAGAGGCACATGCCCACGCCCAGCAAGCCGAGGTGCCCGGGGTGGCCAGCCCCTCACCGCCCCTACAGGCAGGTGGGGCTGGGGGATGTCAAAGGCCTAAACATTTAACTCCCACCCCTCGAGGGACCCCCCACGTGACCCCAACCTAGATTCTGTTCCAAATTCCCAGAAGTCCCGCGAGATTGCCACTGTCCCTTCGGGCCAAGCCCCTGCGCCCAAGTTCCTCCTGGCTGGTCCACCCTCAACCCCCAAAGTAAGGTTCCAGCGTTCACCCTTCCCAAGTCCTCAGGTCAAAAGACAACAGTCCCTGAAGAATATCATTTAATACGTGTTAGACATCATCCATCCAAAGTTAGCGTTCCTTTTAAAAATTAGGACCATGATATAAACCAGTATAAAATGGGCCTGAGTGAGCTTTGGGCAATGCCTGGGAGTGTGTCCATGGGGTGACCCGGCCCTTGCCCCAACTTGGGGGGCAGTGAGGCAAAGGGGGTCAGGGCTGGCCGTGGTCTGAGCCAACCCCATGACGCAGAACACCGAGTGGGGGAGGGGGCGCAGCCTCGGCTTGCTACAAACAGGCCAAGGCTCTTGGCTCCCCGGTCTGTCCCTCCGTGTGCTCCGCTGCACCGGGCCACAGCGTCCGGTCGCCTTCCAGGCAGACCCAGCAGGCCGCGGAGGCACGGGCTTGCAGGGCCGAGGGGGAGGAGAAGCGGGGGCGGGGACCTGGCGGGATGCCAGGCCTCGTCCCTGGTGAAGGCACACTTGTGACAGTGGGGGCGGAGGCGGGAGGTGGCAGCAGCCTGAGGACCCTGGGAAGAAAGAAGCCCACTCCCAGGAGGCGGTCCTGACAGCAGCTGAGTCGGGGCCTGAGCCCTGAGCCGCGGAGAAGTGGGTGCACGGAGTCCCCTCGGGCCCCCAGGGGACCCGCCTTGACGGCCGCCTCTGACCAGGGCCCAGGGCCTGGGCACTGAGTCCATGGGTGGGTCTCTGGAGTGTGAGTGGGGTGCCCTGCAGGCAGGCAGCCGGTCCCAGGCACAGCCCCCATGTCGTCCGCGGCGCTGCGGGCACTGGCCTCGCCCGGCCCCGCCGGGCTGGCGGTCAGTGCAGCACCTGGTCCAGCTCGTACTTCTCGCAGAAGCGGCTGGTGAAGGGGAAGCAGGTGAGGTACTCGATCCAGGGCCAGTGGATGGGGTAGACGTAGAGCCAGATGACCAGCGAGGTGAAGAGGCCGGCGAAGACCAGCAGCGACACCAGGATGAGGGCTCGTTTGCGGTACTTGTCGCTGGTGCCGAAGGTGATGTAGGGCAGGAAGGCGAAGGCCAGCAGCAGCCCGCTGAGGAAGCCAAAGATGTGAGCGATGTTGTCGATCCAGGGCAGCAGGCCGCACACGAAGAGGAACAGCAGGATGGCGGACAGGTTCAGGAAGGCCTTCCAAGGCCGCTCCAGCAGCTGCCAGCTCTGGAAGAGCTCCACGAAGAGGCAGGCGAGGAGGCCGAACTGGGACCCCGCCGGGCCCACCTGTGCAAAGGGGAGAGGAGGTGGGTGGTTTTCAGGGTGGCATGGCCGCAGAGAAGGGTCGCTTCCAGGTCCCAGGTGTGCAGGGAGCCCTGGGCACAGCCAGGCCACAACACTGGGACCTGCCTCATCCAGTCTGGGCGCCCCGAGGCTCAGGGGCTGGCCCGAGCTGCTGGACGGAGGCCAGGCTGCTTCCACCTGCCCATTTGGCAAAGGTGGAGAACCACGCGCCGGTGCTCTGGGGGAGGGGCCAAACACCGAACAGGGCAACAGCGTGAGGGTGAATGGATCAAAAACCGACACTCCTGTGGGTCAAGAACGGTCACACCCTCCTGGCAATTTCCTCCAGCTCAGCCTACGTGATAGGGTGGCAGGCAGTGGCAAGGCCATAAGAAACGAGGCAAAGAAAAGGAACAGAATGAGGGAGAGAGTCCAGAAAGGTCTGGGTGGAGGTACTATCTGAGCATGACTCAGACACGCTCCCTCAATGCTCGGGATTAAAGGATCAGCCAATAAGCCTCCAGCTTAGCCGTCCATCCTCTGCGGGGCGCAGCAGGGCAGGGGCCACATGGCCCGCGGCAGACTCCGGGCAGGAGGGCGGGGAGCACTGCAGCTGGCCCTCCCCACCCTCCTGCCCTGCCCGAGCCCCTACCTCTGCCCGGTAGGGGAGGAAGATGGCACTGGCGAGGTTGCCGGTGATGCCGCTGAGGATGAAGATGATGGAGATGCGATGCCAGCCGGCCAGCTTCTCCAGGTCCCGCAGGATGGTCATTTGGAAGACCACAGACACGATGCAGTGCACCAGGCTGGCGTAGGGGACACACCGGCATCAGCCTCCCCACAACTGCCCCCAGCCACCAGTCCGGTGCTCCAGCAGAAGGGGGGCCTGGCGGGCGGCGCCGGCGGTGCCCTGGCGCAGGGGCCCCTCTGCCGGGGTCCAGCAGGTGGCTGCCACAGGTGTCGGGGGGGCGGGCCCCGGGGAGCCTTACCCAGCGTGGAGGAACAGAGACAGCCAGAGCCTGTAGAACTGATCTGGGACCTCGGGGTTGAGGAAGGGCAGCAGGCCACACACCTCGTCCAGGCAGTGCACCTGGGGGCGGGGGAACGGAGGTTGGTGCCTGGGCCTGGCCGGGCGGCGGCCCCGACGTGGGGTGCGGGGTGGCACCGTGAGGCCAGCTCCCGAGCGGCCATGTCCAGTGTCTTATGCCCAGGGCCCCGCCAGGCCCCTGCCAGACCCCGTCTCACCTGCGAGCAGAGCGTCGCCTCTTCATGGAAATAGCCGTGCATGAACTCGCAGTACTCCCGGGTGGTGATCTCACAGCTGGGGGACAGGGGTAGTCAGGGCCCCAGCAGGCACCCCTGCCCGCCCTGCCTGGAGCCGGTGCCTGGCCACAGCCAGCACGACCGGCCGATGGTGGGGCCCCTCTGCAGAGACCCAGGCTCTGGGGAAAGCGCCCCTTTGTCCTGCTCCCACCACAGGCGGCCCCGGAGTGGACGAGGGAGGACAGCGGCCGGCACGGGTGGGGGAGCTCAGGGAGGCCCGGGCGGGCCCGCCGCTCACCTGCCCTTGGTGCCGATGCAGCAGGGGCGGCCCTTGATCTGGCAGTCCATGTGCGGGAAGCCTGTGCGGTTGCTCCTGGCCTGCTCCGTGCAGATCTGCGGGGCACCGGCGGGGGCAGGCCCGTGAGCAGGAGCCCCCTCCCCCTTCCCTGACCACTCTCTGCCCCGGGTACTCACTGGCCACTTGGTAATGTCATCGGGCCAGATGTGGGCACCGCTGGAGGCCGGCTCCTCGCAGGTTCTGGGAGCAGAGGTCAGAGGGTCCAAAATGAGGGCTGTGGCTCCCCTAGCCTGCCACACCCATTGCCAATGTCCCTGTGGGTGGCACAGGCAACGTGACCCTTAACCCTGCCCCCTCAGCCAGCCTTGCCGAGGGCCACCCTGGGGCCGCACCTGGGGTCCTGGTGGCACACGGCCCCTGACGTCCGCTTCTGGCCCAGGTCGGACTTGTCCATGGGGGGCCCCGTATCGTCCTGCCACTTGACGAAAGTAGCCAAAGTTTCCTGGGGGACGGAGGCAGGCTGGTCATGCCAGGACAGGGCCACGCCCATCAAGGTGGTCAGGGGACCCTCCAGGACAAGGGCTCTTCCCCAGCTTCCCAGGGCCCAGGCCCATCTCCCTGGCCCCCACAAGCTGGGTGACCCGGCTCTCACTGGGGAGGCCGGCACCCTCCCTGTGTAGGGACCCTCCCCACAAGGCTGGCGCGAGGGACGTGGTCCCGGGCCCCCACCGAGCAGTCCTTCCGCTGGGTCTGGATGCAGCCTGAGTGGTCGTTCTGGACGCAGCAGCCCGAGTCCCGCTCCAGGTCTCGCTCCCGCGACACCAGCTGCTCGATCTGCTTGTCCTTCCGGATGCAGGGCGAGAACTTGGCTCCCAAGTGGATCAAGTCAATCTGGGGTGGGGGGAGGGGGTGAGCTTGGGCCCAGACTGGCCGCCCTGTTGAGGCTCCCTGAGGAGGGGGCCTCCTGGGTAAGCCGACCCCCACCCTGCCCGGCCGGGGGAGACAGGGCCCAGGGCTCCCCACGGACAGACTCTCCCTGGCCCTCACCGAGCTGGGGCCAATCCAGAAGTTCTCCTGCTGAAGGTACTTCACGCTCTCGTACACACCTTTGTTCCTGAGCACCTGGTGCAGCGGTGGAAGGGACGGAAGGAGAGGTCAGGGGGTTCTGTCCCCCAGGAAGGGGCTGAGGGGCAAAGCAATGGGAGCCTAGCGCACCCTCCCACCCGGGCCAAATGCTGCTATAGGAGGATTCGGTGGCCCACAATGCTGCAGCCTTTTGGGGGGGCTGGGACTCCCCCAGGCAGAGTCCCACCTCCTCAGCCCCACTCACCAGCTGGGTGGTGATGTGCTGGGCGAAGCCCACGGGTGCTATGCCGTACGTGCAGATCACCAGCAGCGTGATGATGATGTGGACGAACGTCAGCCAGTAGGTGAAGTAGGGCCTGCGGCAGAGGCCAGGGTCAGCGCCCCACGCCGGGCTCTCATCTGCTCCCTGCCCTCCGCTTCTGCTCCCTTCCACCCGTCCCCCACCAGGGACTTCCAAAAGGCACCTGCACGCGCCTCCCTCCCAGCTTGAAACCCTCGGGTGGCTTCCCGCTGCACGTGGGCTCCAGTCTAACATCTGCCCCCTCCCGCTGATTGCCAGGCCCTGCTGTGCCCACCCACTGCCCCAGCCACCTTCCTCTCCTCGCTGCCCCGGGGCCTTTGCACATACTGCTTCCTTTGTCAGGGGTGCTCTCCCCGTTTCTCTTCAGCCAGCCCACCGACGCTCTCCCTGAAGGCACCCCACCCCCAGCTGTCCTCCTCCCCAGTGCCACTCCCCACTCTCTGTCCTCTTCCTCGGGACACTCGCCACACCCGTTTTTACTTCATTTTTTGTAACTTGAGGTACACTGTCTATTGGGTCACTGACAATCGTCCATTCTGTGAGAATTGCCCCCCGCCCCCCAATTCTCCGGCTTCCTCCAAGGTTTTTGGATGTGTCTTCCCCCACAGACCCCTCACAGCTTCTAACTGTCCCTCTGACCCACCCAGTCCTCCCTGCTCTGGTCTGTTGGGGCTCAGTCGCGGGGCCTGTGAGCTGGAGCTCAATGAATGTTTGGTGACGCACTGCCACCAGGGAGCCCAAATCTGGGGAGGGTAGAGAAGAGGCAGTGAGGGCCCAGGAGCCTTCTGGGGTGCTCGTGGAGGGCACAGGCCCAGGACGGGGCCCCGCCCGCTCACCGGTGGCTGTCGAAGCTCTCCAGCTGCCGCTGCACTGTGCTGCTGATGCTGCGGCGGTAGCTGCGGTTCAGCCAGCTGCCTACCACACCCAGGCCATAATGCCGCTTCTGCCGGTCGAAGGCAAAGTGCTTGACTTTGGAGGCGATGCGCTTGCCGCGCTTGGCTGCAGGCACCGGAGCATGGCCATACTCCCTCCTGCCGGGGACGGTGGCGGTCAGCCCGATGCCCACCTCATACAGCCCAGGAGGGACTTGCGGCCTGGAGGGCCCCCCGCAGGGTCACAGGGCTCTGGGGGAGCCCCTTCCTGGCCACGCCACCCTCCTCCTCCTGCAGGAGAGACTGCCGGAACTCACAGCGAGACTTGCACCCCTCCGGGGGAGACCGGGGAGGCCGAGCGTGGGATCCCCCGGAAGCAGCTGGCGGAGAGCGGGGGAGACTCAAACACATCGTCAGGCATGGAGCTCATTTCTTCCTGGGGTGGCGGTGGAGTGGGGGACACGAGAGACAGGGTGAGGAGTCCCCGCCCCTGCTACTGCCCCTGCAGCGCAGTTCGAGGGCAGGATAAGGCAGAACGAGCAGGCTCTTCAGGAGGGGGATGGAAGGTTCAGGTGCTCGGCCCTGGGCCGACTTTCTTGGCTGGCGTCCTGCCTCACCCCCGGCTCCTGCTCTGACCAAAAGGAGCTCCACAAGCTGGCACATCCCATCCCGCCCAAGTGCCTTTGGATCTCAGGGGCTCCTGGCAGGGAATGGTCACAGCCAGGCCACCCCTCCTAGCTCCCAGGCCACCCTGTCCCCCTGCCCCAAGGGCCCACACCCCACGCTTGCCTTACTAAAAAACGAGGAGTCGAACGTGTCTGCCCCATCGACCACATCTTCCTCCAGGAAGCTGGGGTAGGCGAAGCTGCGCTTGACTGCCCGGCACCGCTGTCCAGCAGCATCCAGCACCGGGCGCCCCTGCGCACGGGCGGAGGCATGGGCATCAGGCCCAGTTCGGGCGCCCCCAACACCAGAGGAACGGTCAAGCCCACCCTCCTCCTGGGGATGGTGCCTCGGGAGGTGGGACGCTGCCTGGAGCAGGGAGGGCCAGGAACAAGGCACCGGCTCCACCACAGCCCCGAATGCATCGTCCCTTCTCCACGGTGTGCCGCCATCTTCTTCCCAGCAGCCTCGTGCCCTCCGGCTTGGGCAGGGGGCACCTGCCCACTCATCCTGCGTCCTTGTTCTCGAGACGCGGGCCGCCTCCCCACAGTCCTGGCCCTGGCACGGCACACTGCGCCCCTGCCCACCTTTTTGAGCCCATCTCCTGCCACTGTAACTAAAGCTACAGGGAACCACCCGCTGCTCCCCCAAAGTGTCATGCCCCCTCCTACCTACAGGACTTAAAAAAATATATTTTTTAAATTTATTCATCTTAGAGGAAGGGGGAGGAAGAGAGAGAACATCAACCCACTGGCTCCACCCATGCATGCATTCATTCACTGGTGACCCATGCACGTGCCCCGACCTGGGATTGAACCCGCAACCTTGGTATAGTAGGACGACACTCCAACCACCTGAGCCACTGGGAAGTCCCCAATTCCCCACCTCAAGCCTCAAGGGCTCCAGGCCTTTGCATAAGCTGTTCCCTCTGCTGAGAATACTGTTCCCTTCATTCTTTCCCTTATTTTTCTGGGCTCAGGGACAGTGCCTTCCCTGACATCAGCCCTTCTCCTGGGCGAGGTGAGGCAGCACCCCCTCTGGCCAGGCCCTGCACTCATCACCTGAATGGTGACGTCCCCCCTCACCTGGGCTGGGGGCTCTTGCAGGGCAGCGACACGGGCCCCCTTCAGCCTGCAGTCCCCGCACTCAGTGCAAATGCTGGCCTCAGGGACTGCAGGTGGTGAGTGCGGACCACAGGCTTCACGTCTAGTTCCCAGCCTCTGCGCTGGGGCAGAAACCACTGCCCACACGACAGAGGCGGCAGGGGCTCGGGAGGGAACTGAAGCTGGGACATGGGCGTCTCTCTCCGCCCTGGGGTCCCAGGCCCTGAGCACAGACAGAGGCGCCTGGTGAGCTCTGGGGGGCTGCTTTGGGGAAGGGAGGAGGCGCCTCACCTTGAGGAGGGCGGAAGCCGCTTGAATGCTCATGTGGGCCACAGATATCCTCTTCCTGCGAGGCAGGTGGGAGTGGCCAGAGCGGACACTGGTGAAGGAGGTGAGGGACAGGACCCCCGGCGTCAGCGGCGGGTGCGGGGCGTGGGGCCGGTCCACCTCGTCAGGGTGGCGGAATGCGCGGCCTCGGGCCAGCGGGTCCACGATCTGGAAGGCAGGGCGAGGTGAGCAGGGCCGAGGGCCCCGGGCCACGTCGCCGGCCGCCCCCTTGAGGCCCGATGATGCCCACCTTGGGCATCTTGCAGGGCTTTGGAGACTCGGTGCCCTGGAAGGAGGGCGTGTCCTGGCTGGGGAGCTCCAGCTCGCGCTGGCACGAGGGCTTGAGGCGGCCGTAGCGCACGCTGCAGTGGTGCAGGCTCCGGCGCTGCCAGTGCTGCCGCGCCAGCTCCCAGTCGCCGCTGACCCCGAACCACTGCGCGGTGCCCCTGCAGCAGAGGAGGCGGGGGTGGGGGTGTGCACAGATCAGCTTTCCCTTGAGCCCCTGGTTTGGTACCCAATGGCCAAAGTCCAGAGCATGAGAACCTGGGCTGGGACAGCCCCTGAGAGCCACTTGGAGCGGCAGTGGTCCACCGCCGGCTCCTCGAACCCCCTGGAATCCCACTGTGACTTTAGGTGAGGCACACATGCCCCTGGGCCTCCGCCTCCCCACCTGCAGCATGTCCCCCTCTCCACAGAGGCTGCTCACTAGTGCCAGCCTACACCTTCTATGATGGGGACACAGGACAGGCCCTGCGGAGCTACGGGGCCGTCGGCGGGTGGCTGGGCGGGGCAGGGCGCAGGCTCACTTGCGGATGCTCTGAGACAGGGAGGCCTGGCGGCGGAAGCCGGGCCGCTTCTCCGAGCCCTCCTGCCATCGTCCCCGTGGCTCCTGGAGGCTGACGCTCTTCAAGTAGGCTGGGTTCCTGGGCTGCTGTGGGAGGACGGGTAGGAAGCAGAGGGTGGGCGTGTGCACACGCACAGCAGCCTCACGGGGCCCCGCCCCTGGGCTCTGTCTTCTTTGGTTACCAATGTGAAAACTCTGAGACAAACCTCAACCCCAAGGGACACCCCGGAGCTGCTTTTATTTTGAATGCAAACTCGCCATTTTCTAATGTGTTTCAGAAAACCCTAGAAGGCGTTTCCCTGTTCCTTGTTGAGTGCTCCCCCGTCACACTGTGACGCCCTGGCCTGTTTCTCTGCGTGTGGCAGAGCCCCCGGGGCACGTGGGCAGCACCGACATAGTCCCCTTTATGTTGCAGGCTGTGCATGGCCCACGCCGTGTGGAGCCCATTTTCAATGAGCTCTTTATGGACCGATGGCCTGGCCTGTCCGACACATTGATTCATTTCCATGCTCCGAGGGGCAGCACTGGGCGGTGAGGCCGCTGATGCCGAGGACACGAGGGCCCCCCTCACCCGAGTCCCAGACAGCTGTGCCCCTCGGAAGGGCCTGGGCGAGGAGATGGAGGCAGCCAGGTCCCAAGTGGGACTGGCAGACCCGTCCTCTCTTTCTCTCTGCACCCCAATGAGACCCTTAGTTCAGGGTCTGCTCCCTGCGTGTGACGCTCAGGGCCTGGAGGGAGGGGTACGGGCCTGAGAGGGGGGCCACGCAGACCGCCGTGCTTGGAAGGGGCCTCCACCAGGAAGCGAAACTGCCCGAAGCGTGAGATGTGGGCACATCTGTCACCTGGGGCGGGGCACAGCCCCGGCCGCCCCTTACCGGGGGCAGCATGCTGGTCTGCTCGTCAGCGGCCAGGGTCTCGAGCGGCGGGATGGTGATGGACAGGTTGGGCGGCTTCCGGCTCTGCAGGCGGCTGCTGGACATGGAGGAGACGCTCTCGCCATTCTTGTCCGCAGAGGCCATGGCAGGCAGGGGGGCAGGACGGCTGGAAGAGAGGCGGGGGGGCACAGGTGTGTTGAGGACCGGAGGGGACACAGGGACCTAGGTGCCAGGGCGGGCAGCCCAGACTGAGAACCACCTGCCAAAAGCTGATTCTAACTCCAGACACTATACCATGTGGCAGAGACCGAACTGAGTGGGTATGGCGAGAAGGTCTGTTTCTGTCCCCTTTTATTTGCATTCCGGACCAGTAGGGTCCGCAAAGTCCCCAGTTTCCCCACATCAGTTCATCCCTGGGCTCAGCTCAGGCAAGGACCACACACAGAAAGGAGCAGGAGGACAAGGGACGGGGGCCTGCAGAGATGTTGACTGCCAGGCGGCTGGGCCCTGCCTTCGTCCCCGGGGCCGGGCTTGGGGGAGGACAAGACGGCCAGGGAACAATCCTGTGCCACTAACAGCCACCCCCCCACCCCGCGCCTCCCCCTCCACAGGCACCGCTCAATTCTCACAGGAGCCCCTGGGCTGGGAGGGGAGGAGGTGGCGGCTGAAACTAGAAAGCCATCTGTCCCTGTTGCTTGTGGCTGCCCAGTTCCTTTTTCAAAGGTAACTGAAACTGCCACATGTCTCGTACTTTTCTTTTCATAGAGAAAAAATGTTCTACCTTAATGAGAAAAGTGATATAATGTGCACTTTTTTGCCCAAATTTTTGAGGGAAAAATAAGGGTGCACATTATACATGAGTGTAATGATTACATACTATGGGTATAATAACCCTGTGTATAGTGCGCACTAAAACGTGGGTGCGCGTCACACACAGCAAAACATGGTATAGGTTCACGCAAGGCAGGCAGGCAGGCGAGCAGGCTCAGAAGACCAGAGGACGCAGACAGCGAGCTCCTGGCCACCCGCCCTCTGGGAAGGAGCCGTGTGCCTGTCCTTCCAGATGCCTCTCTGCACCTGGAACAGAAGCCACGCGCTTATTTCACACCCACTCACACCTCTTCTTCCACGGAGCGCACACTTCCCACCAACACAGACAGACAGACGACCGGCCGTAACTGCCCTGGCGACTGCAGAGGCTTCAGGGACTGGACTGCCCCGAGACGCGCTGGGTTCCGGGCTGGGGGTTATTCGGGGTGCACCCAGCACTTCGGACCCGCGTCCCGCGTTAACGCGCGCTCCCCACTACGCCGCGCGCCCGTCTGAGCGCTATCGCAGGGCAGCTCTAGAGGTGGGATTGCCAGGCTGGACAGGCTGGACAGTAAGTGTGTTCCAGATTTCGACGGATCTTGCCAAATAGCCCTGCCCAGAGGAGGTGGTAATTTACCCCCATCGGGGTAAGTTTACCCCACGCTCCAATCCCCACGTCCCCTGTGATGCCACTGGAATGAGCATGCTCTGCCCATCCTGTGCTCGCCTGCCGTCACTCACTCTGCCCTGTTCCTTTTTTCTCTCACCAAAGTCCTTTGCTTTTTCCTCATCCCACTTCCCAAGGCTCCTGGGGCAGGTTTGGTCTCTTCTGGCCTCGCACGAGGCCAGGGACTCCACCGCCACCTTCCGATGAGGGTGCCAACCCTGGCTGTGCACAGGCTAAGGGCAGTGTCACGCAGGAGCCATCCGGCCAAGGGACGCGGGGCCAAGGTGTGGGACGACAGGGCAACGCGGCAGCCACGTGTGTTCCGAATGTCCCTCTCCTCTGTCTCTACGCGGCACCCACCCAGGCCACCATCTTCTGTCACCTGAATCGTCACAGTGCCTCCCGACTCGTCTACCTGCTGCCCTCGGGCCCCCCGCCCCGTGACCACTCTCTACGCTGCGGCGGAAGTCGTCTTTAAAAGCACAAATCACACCATGTCACTCCCTGCTCAATACTGTCCTATGACTCCCTGTTCTCACCTAAAATCAAGCCCAGACTCTCACTGGGAACTCTGGCCCGTGCGTGGCTCTGTCTCCTCGCCCACCCCCACCTGCCCCGCTGCGGTGGGCCCCCCACTGTCTCCCCCCACCCAGCGCTGTAGGGAGGCGCTGGGGGTCGGGGTCAGAAGCACAGACTGGCACCTGCAGCCTGGGCCTGACCTGCACACACGGGCCTGCACTTGACCACGGTCACCACATCCTCACCGCGACCGGGAGAGTTACCGCCTCCCTCCTGAGCCTCGAAAGGATGAATATGGCACACGTGAGCGCAGTGGATCTGCACAGGACCTGTTCAGGGATGTTCACGGCGATGTGTTCGTCAGGCCAAGAGCGGGAAAGGGCCCCCTTGTTCCCACGGGACCCGCTGCGGCCACGCCCTGGATCAGCGCCCGGGCACAGCAGGAGCAGAGCTCTGCGGGTGTTGCACCCAGTGACAGAGCCACACAGAGCCCACGTGCTACCGGAGTCCCTTCAGAGCAAGGCCCTGACAGGCAAGTCTAGACCCAGAAAGAAGAGCTTGCTCGGGGCCGCAGGGAGGTGACAGCTGAAGGACGGGGGTCACACTCGGAGGGGTTGCAAGTGTTCGGAGGCTGACTGTGCTGACGGTCCTACATACCTGTGGATGTGCTAAAAACCACTGAATGGACACTACGTAAAGGGATGAGTTTTATGGGACTCACATCTCAATAATGCTGTTTAAAAAAACATCTCAAGCCCCGGCTGGTGTGGCTCAGTGGGCTGAGCACGACCTGTGAACCAAAGGGTCATTGGTTCGGTTCCCGCCAGGGCACCTGCCTGGGTTGCAGGCCCAGTTCCCCAGTGGGGGGGCGCTCAAGAGGCAAACGCACATGGATGTTTCTCTCCTCTCTTTCTCCTTCCCTTCCCCTCTCTAAGAAGTAAATAAATAAAATCTTTAAAAAAAAAAAAAAAAAGTAGGTGCTTCATAAATGTCGGGCCTCTGCGGTGCTGGTCCCTCCGTCCCCAGATCATCACACGACAATGCGGGCGGGGCCTTCTCATCACTCCAGTCCCTGCTGGAGCGCCACCTCCTCCAAGGAGCCCCCCGTGACTGCCTGAAGCAGCTGCCTCGTATTCACTGCTGCCTCCCCGATGTCAGGAGAGTGCTGGCCCACAGGTGCCGGCCCTCAGGAGCCAGCGCCGCGGGCCCACCCTCCTGGCCACCAGCTTCCTACCCTCAGACTTTGGGCTCAGCTCACAGCTTCAGGGTCTGCTGCAGGTCTTCAGAGCATGTTCTAGTCCTTTCCTCACTCTGTACGGGTGCTCTGGGGTCAAGCTTCAGCTGTGTGGAGAGGCGGACACATGCAGGGACAGATGGAAAGATGAAGAGATGGCTCCGTCAAGCAGGGCGGCCGCCTTGTGCACACAGCTCGCAAGCCTGTAAGAAGGGAAGGGCAAGTTCAAGGGCTGTGTCAGGGACACGAGCCTGAGCACCTTCCTGACCGACCTAGGCTCCTCGCCCGTAATGGGAGGGTAATTCCACCGGCCTCAAGGATGAGGGATTAAAGGAGGTGTGTCCCCATCCCCCGAGTAAGGGTCCCTCCCTGGTGGTGGTGAGCTACGCAGCCCAGGGCTCCAGCCTCAGGGTGCTCACCTGCAAACCCCTGCTCTTGGCTGGGAACCCAAAATCAAGACGGTTTTTTTTTGTTTCTACATCACTTTACCAGAAACATTTAACTTCAAAAACCCAGGAGTTGTTGGCTGTGTTCTAAGGTTTCTTTTCAATTTGAAAGGGCCAGATATTTAAGGCAGTGTTGGAATGAACTGCAAGTGCTTTATTGTGGTTGTTTTGCTTTAAGTAAGTCATTGGTATGAAATCCACCCGAACGTAAAATCAGGCATTTAAAAGGGAAGAACTTGGCGGCGCCCCCTTTGTCTCTGAGAAGTCCTGCTGCCCGCAGCATGACAAGCCGTCCTGAGGCGTCACCGAGGGCTGCTGGGGCAGGTCACCGAGGGCTGCTGGGGCAGGGTCCGGTCCGCAGATGCGCCGGGCCTTGCTCGCCCCTCCCGCGCATACACACCCTTCGGCGCAGAGGTCACCGTCATTTCCATTTTGTGGGCAGGCAACGGAGGATCAGGGGAGCCAAGTAACTTGCCCAAGGTCACACAGCCAGGAAGGGGAGCAGCCGGGACTGCCATTGCTCTGGCTCCAGGGCCTGAGGTCTCCTTGGGAAACTGCTGCCGTACCACCTTCCCTGAACTTGGGGTGCGCTCAGGGCTGGAAGACCCTCCCCTCAGGGAGACAGAGCAGAGAGTCCCATCCCCAGGGAAACCTAGGCAGCACCTGAGCTCTCTGCGAACTGTGTTCTTCACGGGCCCAGCCACCCAGAGGCGCCCGAGGAACTGCCACGGGGTGAACCAGAGGCTGGAGCAGGGGTCTGGGACCCCCGGGGCCACAGGGCAGCTGCCCTTCGCTTTATCTATCGGATCGGGGTCTTTGGTTGCTGGAATCCTCCAGCTTCAGGTGAGGAGCTTTGGATGTGGCAGGGCCGTGGAGGGCAAGCCAAGGCAAAGCAGGGGGCTCAGGACGCTCCCTGCTCCTTTAGACCAACAAGCTCAGGCACCCTTCCTTCGACACCCAAGTGCTGAGTGTCCTGGCCTTGCAGGCCCCGGGGAAGATGGGCTTCGGCGTTGGGCAGGCGCCACGTGATGATGCCACTCTGAGCCTGCTCCAGGGACAGCTCCAGGACAACAGCCTCACCTGGGGCCCCTGCACGGAAGGTTCCCTGGTCTGGCCTTCCCTGGGGCGGGGTGCAGAGAGAGGGCATCAGGTGAGCGCTGTCCTGGGAAACCAGCACCAGGGATGGAGGCCAGGGGTGGGCATGGGGCTGCCAGGCCAAGCTCCAGTAAGGTCACCAAACAGGCAGGATCCTTCTGGAACTCAGAGCTGATCACACCCCCACAAGTCGGCACCCCCTGCTTTTCAGAGCCTGTCCCCACACCCCAACAGACACACCGCATCCCCCCAGCTGCTACCTCCTCTTATCAGAGGCCCTGTACCCGGCCTGCCTGGCTGCCTGGCCAACACCTACACACTGCTTTACGGGAAAAAAGGTCACCTCACCCAGGAAGTCTTCCTTGTCACCACCAGACAGAATCAACCGCTTTCTCACCTGCTCTCTCATAGCATCCTGCAGAGAGGAGCCCACCTGTCCGTGTCCTCACAGCTACGGAGTTAGCCCCCTTCATCGCTCACCGAATGGAAGGCAGGTGGGAGGTGGCCACAGCAACCCTGCGCAGAAACTGTCACCCCCAGTTCTGTGGCCAGCCCCGGAGCCGGGTCCTCGGGGAGGCTCCGCTGAGTGCTGCCTGTCCCGCCTGGCCCTGCCACCAGGGCTAAGGATGGAGGACACAGCCCTGGACAAGTCCCCCGAGGCCCTCCTGCTGTCCCAACCCCCCACACAGCACGCGCTCCCGGGCCAGCCCGTCCATCCCGAGGCCGCACCGCCCCTGCGGGGACCCCTGGCCCAGGACCCACGGTGCTGCTGGCACTGGCGCAGGCTGAAGGACTGGGTCTCTGGGACTGGCCCCAGGGCAACTCTGGGTGTCCCCAGGAGAAATGGCCTCACCCTGGGGGCAGAGGCACAGGTGGGGACACCTTTTCTGGGAAGGGGGTGGTGCCCAGGAGAGCTGCTTTCCCCACCTTTGTAGGGCAGTGCGAGTCCTGGCCTGGAAGCACCCTCCCTGTCTCTCTCCCTCTCGGTCAAGCAAGGGAGTTGGATAAAGTGATAGCTGGCTTTGACACTCAGGAAGCCCACACTTGTGGTGTAAAAACACTCCCTTCCCCAAGCCCCTCTCCATCGGGGCGGGGGCGGAGGGGGGTGCTGCTCCTGAGACCTCCTGCCCCGACCTGTGCACCAGAAGCCCCGCCCCGCCCCTAGGGCCCGGAAGTGAGGGTGGGCGGGGCCAGCACAGGGTGGACACACCCACCCTGGGCGCCAGGCATAACCTGAGTAGTGGGGAGTGGGTGGAGGAGCCCAGGCTGCGGGGGCCCAGGCAGAAAAAGGGCTGGAGCTTCAGGGCACCCTGCCCAGCACTCATCTCCCGCGCCCCAGAAGTGCTTGCTCACTTCAGGAAATTGGGACATCCTGGGACCGGGCTCCCTCCTGGCCCATGAGACCCCCTGGCCTGCCGCAGCGCCCAGCCCGCGAGTGGGGTTGGAAGTCCAAGGGCCTGCCCACCCCGCCTAGCTAAGCCACTGCCACCTGCCTGGGCGGGACCCCGGCCTCGGTGGGGCCTCAGGCTCTGCCCCAGTCAAGTTAAGAGACTCCAAAGGGGCCTGGGTAGAGGGCAGGGGTTTAGGGCGGGGTCCTGCAGGGGTAGGGGTGGGGCAGACCCCCAGAAAAAGCGAAGTGCTGCATTCAAACCACCCTGAGGTACCGTGGGGGCCGAGGCGTCCACTCCGCGCTCCCACCACCCTCACACCCAGGAGCCTGAGGCCAGCGAGTGGCAGCCAGGACCTGGAACATTCCACGCAACTGCAGACGCAGCACCCACCTGCTGATGCGGCAGGAGAAGCCGGTTTCCCCACCGAGGGCGGGGCTGGACACACTGCCAGGTAATCCCGTCCCAACACAGAGCAGGGTACACAGTGTCCCTCCCGCCCAGTCTGCCTGCTTGCCCCCAGTTCCATGGCACCAAGGAGACTAGCTGCGGTCCCCTCCCTCTCACTCTGCCACCAACACACACTAGCTGGTTCCTGAAGGCTCCCAGGTCTCGCTAAAAGAGGAGGGGGTCTCCATGCCCCCAGGCCCTGAGCCTCCCCGCCCAGGACTTTAGGAGCCGGCAGTAGCTCCCAGACAGAAGCAGGCAGGCCACAGGCAGGAGGGCACAAACTGCCCATGACCACAAATGGGGACACAAGAGGTAAGCCGCCCCTCCCTCCCGAGAGGAGAGAGGCAGGTCTGTATTCATCAGGAGGTGTGACCAGGAAGTTGAGGGGACCTTCAGCAGGGAGGTAGAAGTGACTTCCAGCTGCCAGCCCCGCCCGCCCCGCCCCCCCACCTGGGAGCCAGTGGCCAGGCCCAGGGCAGGGGAGGCTGGGCTGCGCAATGGTCCCCTGCTGACTCACAGGATGACAGGGGGAGGGAGTGAGGAAGTGGCCCTCTCCCTGCTTCCCTGACTGCCGCAGAAACCGAAACCCGACTTTCCCTCCCACAGCCCTTCTGGGAACCGGTCGTTTTTAGAAAGCGGTGAAGAGGAAGCGGGGCCCTCCCCACCACACAATCCCCGCAAAACTCCTGGTTCTGCTGGCCTCGGGGAATGGCTCCGGTCCCCTCCACTCCACGGGTCCCCAAGTTGCCTGCACAGCCAGTGACACCCTGCACACCTCCCCGCCCGGCAAGCAGGAGTGGGAACCGGAGCAAAAGTGCGAAGGACTGGATTTGGGGAGAAAGAGAAGGAAGCCAACAGCCCCCTCTGGAGGCTGAAACCCAATCATCAAAGTCAGAGACGGGCGGGGGAAGAAAGGGGCTCTCTGGGTCCCTTCCTCCAGCACCACCTCCCAGAGGGGCCGGTCCACAGACACAAGCTGAACACAAACGAGCACCCTGCATGGGCACTGCCCCCAACAGAGAGCAAGAACAGATCCACCTGCGGGTTCGTGCCCCCCGTCCCATGGGGAGGGGTCCCACTCACCACCGACATCCTGCCCAGGGAGCCCCGAGCTCCCCGCCGCCCCACCCGCAGGCTTTGCTCAAACCCGGTTCGGAAGAGAAAGAGCTGGGGGGGACAGGTTCAGGTGCTTGGGGACCCACTGGCTTGTCCCATCAGCCCCCAGGTTCTGGGCTCCCCATGACCCAGTTAGAGCACCTTGGGTGGTGTGGCCAACCACAGGCACGGGAAGCGGGTGCCCGGTCCCAGGGCGCTGCCATGGGCGCAGCGCACGCATGATGGGGGGCGGGGGCGGGGCTGTGTCTTTGGAGCAGTGCGGACCCCAGGGTCGCTCCGCACCCCCCATCAGGCTTCCTCGGGGTGCTGAGGCTGCTGGCAGCACACAGGGCAGGCACCATGGAAAGGGAGAGCGTCGCCAGGGGCCCCTAGCTGGACACGCTGCTGGCCCTGCCCAGGAGGGCGCCCTCTCAGGGGCCCCTCTGGGACTCTAGAAGCTGCTGGTCAAAGCAGACAAGGGAACAGCAGCAGGGCAGGGACACAGGTGCCTGGCCGGAGGCCTGGGATGGTGCCCTTCCACACCCGGACCAGCGGTGGCTCCCGGAGCCTGGAGGCAACCATGGCTCGGGGCCTCAGGCAGAAGGGGCCCACGGGCCAGAGCCTCCCTAGGGACAGTGGCACGTCCCATCCCCCCCCCCCCCGCCGTCCCCGCCAAGCCCTGCTGCCCCTTGAGCACTGCTGGCAAGGGGAAGGGCCTGACGCAGCACC